TGCTCATCGATCCTGAGCAGGCGATCCTTCCGTTTGTGCTGCACTGGATTCATTTAACAACGCAACAAACCTCCTCCCGACTAGAAAGTGCTTGCAACTGCCAAGGAGTTGCAGACCTCTCAATATGAGTTTCATGGGATTTGAGGGTAAACTATACTTGATCAAATTGGAGGATGTGTTGGTGTGCTCACATCATAAGAGAATGTACCATCTAAGTATAGACGCATTCATGAATACGTAGGCGGGTTTGCTTGCATGTAATACCCTGGTGGCCCCCAGTGCAAACTTTCAGTCCCACCTTCAACGCGGTATTGTGCAGAATGTCACTGATTAGTACATTTAGTCTCGTGCGTGGAAAGAATGCAAAAACTTCATATGACTCAGAAATCGGTTAAATAAACGCCCTGTTCCCTTGCTGAAGCAAGGGTTCGTAGAAGTGAAGCATTTGAAAGGATCGACCAAGCAGCTTAAATATGAAGGACTGTGGTAGATATCTATAGTTGAACGTATGCATAGCAGTATCAAAAGCTTCTCTGCAAGCCAAGAAAAATCAAATAGGACATTACTGAATTCAATCGATAAGGAGGGGCATTATCCCAACGTCAACAGAAGCAAACCACGAATATCGATTCCTCGACCTGAATCGGATGTTCATTGTCGAACATATGTGGTCAAAGTTATCTTTATAGTATCAATCGCTTTCTGAACAATTCGATGTCAATACTTCACGAACTGAAGTCGGATCAATGAAGTGAATAGCTTTTGAGTTTTCATGACGATCATATATCGTAAATCATAGCTGTAGAGGATTTTCAGCTGACGTCTGACGGCGTCGCTTGGTGGAAAATGAGAGATTGACCAGATTATCACCAGTCAAAATGTTACAACCAACAATTTCGGTGAAGGTGAGGTATGGTTGGTGAGGAACGCAGTCAGTTCACTCAACAGATTCGCCACACACACTACAAAGAATGCGAAGAGTCTGAAAATCATCAAAACGTTTGCCTCCAAAAGCTGACTAACTTGCAAGTTAGTCTAAGGTTGTGCGGGTCACAAGATAGACTTGCATCGGAGCCTGTCTGCAAGGCAGCGATAAAAGAAATCCTTTACTAGCGAAAATTGGCACTATTAGTCAAAGCAGTAAGAGTTGAAAAATGATTCTGTAACACATTACGGGAGTTCTTCTATTAGAAAACCAAGATGATGTCTTACTGATTCCCTAATGGAGCGCTCACTACTTCTAGAAAGTCTCTAGTCCGCATCATGCTGAGAAATATGAATCTCCCATCCCCACCGTTGAATTCGTACCAGCTATTTATCTCCATGAGTCCATGACCAACAGTACAGCATCTGGTTCGAATAGGATTAGATACGAACATCTGTGGAACTTCCCACTATTTCTCATCTACACGTTGTCTCAGTTCTTCGCACGTCATATGTTGTTGTCCATATTTCCTAACTAAAGGAAGATCAGCAAAACCGTGTTGATGCACGAGACCAGCACCTCATCGGCAACTCGTCCAATCCGCCTGCTGTCTGTTGCCTACAAAGTCTTCACTCGAAGTAACTGAAAGAACAATGAGCAAAGGAGAGCCATGCAAGCAATCAAGATTTCTAAAAACGTTTATCATAATATGTCATACTCTCATGACAAGGATCCTAACTGGGTCATCGTGAATGCACGAACGTTATGTTGTTTCACTNAGAAAGTCTCTAGTCCGCATCATGCTGAGAAATATGAATCTCCCATCCCCACCGTTGAATTCGTACCAGCTATTTATCTTCATGAGTCCATGACCAACAGTACAGCATCTGGTTCGAATAGGATTATACACGAACATCTGTGGAACTTCCCACTATTTCTCATCAACACGTTGTCTCAGTTCTTCGCACGTCATATGTTGTTGTCCATATTTCCTAACTAAAGGAAGATCAGCAAAACCGTGTTGATGCACGAGACCATCGGCAACTCGTCCAATCCGCCTGCTGTCTGTTGCCTACAAAGTCTTCACTCGAAGTAACTGAAAGAACAATGAGCAAAGGAGAGCCATGCAAGCAATCAGGATTTCTAAAAACGTTTATCATAATATGTCATACTCTCATGACAAGGATCCTAACTGGACCATCGTGAATGCACGAACGTTATGTTGTTTCACTTCAGTTCACTCAAAAAAACAGTCTCCATCTTGTCGTTGGGACAGAACGAGCTATGGATACTTTGGATAACAAAGACACCTTGCTCATCGGAATCGTAAACTTCACAGTCACTTTGAAAATGAAATCTGGTTACTTTTATTACTGATGTGGAGTGAGGTTAATACCAGCCTTCTAAAATCATTTACAACAACTTTGAAGAACGTTACGCGAGAAATAAAAGAAGAGAACTTTTGAGCGGAAGTCGCCGGTCGACAGCTGCAAAATCTTGTCGTTGCTGATGACACCGTCCCGAAAATATCAAGCGTTAGTCAGACGGAAAGATGGTGGTCGAGTGCCGATGACCGAAGATCAATGACGCTGCCCCCATGTCAGGATGTCGAAAATTATATGGGTCGGACACGCGACACGTCATGACCGCGACTGATGGACAACAGTCGTTTCTGACTGGATTCCTGAGGATCCAATGCAGCGAAACGTATGGCATCAACATATACAGATGACATATGAATGCCTCTACAAGCTTGCAGCTCGAGACTCACTAAGTTCAGTTTGACTTAGGTAACTGAATCCTTGTATTTTGATTAATGACAAAGTAGTAACAATATAATGAAACTAAAAGCGACTACATGGTGATCAATGACTGGCTTCAAAAAAGAAGTGAAAGACGCAAGCGATGAGAATCAACAACTAAGATCTTTAGAGTTTGTGCTGACCAAGAAAGACCGTGCAGAATAGGACGAAAACGGTTCCACAAGATGATGACAATTCTGTTAACCTTTATCGAGTAGCCAGAATGAGGTTATCTTAGGTTATCTTAGAAATGCGTTCAGATGGTGAGAAACTCGGTTCCAATTCTAATAACGAGCGCGCACCGTCAGAGAGGGCTACGCCTCCTAGCACGGTCAACCATGAATTTCTTTGCACATTATTTATCCTACTGTGAATCGTTTGATCTTCGTTGGCGGTGTTTCTGTATGCTCTTGAAGCCGTGTTATGCGATTTACTCAAAAGGTCTTCAAATTTTCTCCGCAAAGTTACTTTAGCATTAGACCTAATAGAGTTGCAAATCAACACTGACCCACCCACTATTCTCCTCCAGAGGCGGTCCTCCAAATACTGAGCACAATAGTTTTCTTTGAGATGTTTGAAAATTTAAAAAACAATTGAAAACAATGAAATTCGTTTCAAATATCTTATAAAATCTTATAGGGCACGCGTGGGGCAGCGGTCGGTGGCGCCTTGCAAAACACACGTGGAATCGATCCCTGCGGCCATGGTCCACCAAGTCTTCCTTCCCTCCGGGGTCAGAAAATTAGTGCCAAACTTGCCTGTGAGGATAGTAGCACTGGCTCGAGTAGGTCACCACAAGTCATTGTAAAAACCAGATATGCGTTCAATCCCCTTCAAACGGTGCTTAATGAAATTTATTGCACGGCGCATCTCTCAGTGATTTATCAACTCCGAGAGCTTTAGAGCTTTTATAAAACAGTATTGCAGGTTGAGGTTAATGTGTTTGTATGTGGACAAGTTCTTTTTCCATCGAACACAATAGTTCAAGGAAACATGAGAAAACAGATTTGAAATACACAGGACATGAAAAGCCACAGAAATGAGTGCGAAGGAAAGGGAAAAAAACTGAATCACAGAAACTTTGAAAGAAGAACATGCTTTTTTTCAGCGAAGGAGAGGAAAAGTGGACCGTTTGCTTTGAACACAAGGCACACAGCAAGCGCTAGTACTATGCGGCTGTCATGTTGAACTATGCGTAGACTCGCATCTCTTTAGAAACCGAACCGGTTTTTCTGGTTAGTTTTTTAGCTCGGCCTTTCAAGCATTCCTAAAGTAAATTTAAATACACCTTACGTCTACATCTACAAATCTGCATTATCTACGTTAGGCTAGACGTTGCTCTAAACGGACACGAGCCTTTCATTTCCTTTCTTTTCCTGATTTCAAAGACAAATTCCATAAAACTGGATGTAGAAGTGTTCTTGGGTAATGTGGTATGTTTCCACTAAACGACGAAGAAGCGCTGTTGGTTAAAGTTGAGTAGCAAACTAAAGTCACGACATCACATCACGTAAATGACACTTAATGAAGTAAGGCTATTTTTTAAGATCACGCAAGTATCCATCACTGAGAATGGTCTCTTTAAATTGTCGACAGGTATTTTTACGTGCAGAAATCATTGACGACCAACGTCAAAGAGATGCAAAAACTCTTCCCACAACTCGATGCCAGTCGACTGTTTCGAAGTTTGTTCCATACTAAACATGAGGTAAGTTGACATTCCACAACGCCATTCTGTGTTTTCCTCTGTGGTGCCGGATTTCTCCCCATGGTTGAGTATTGCCGTTCTTGATGGATCTTGCACGCACCATTCGTTTCCTCCGATCCAAACAGATTCTCCGCGTGCCCTACTG